AACAAATGGAGCTGTAACTATCTTTTCTTTTTTTTTTCTTTTTTTTTTCCCCCCCTGTTTGGAAGCCAAGCAGCCCTTGGGCCTCAGGTCTCAGATAAAGAATATTAAGATTCATCTTGGCCATCCACAGCATGCCATGGGAGCTGTGCAGGTACTCTCTTCATAGTTGGCACATCAAGCCCCAAGGCATCTGTTACCAGCTGAGACCCCAGTTGAGAGTCAAGGACTTGAGTAAGATTTTGGGCAAGCCACTGAAAGGAATTGCCACGTCTTTTTCCTTGTCTCATCATAATTCATCCCACCACCATTTGTCCTGGACAAAGAGAAGGAAGCTACATAAAGGATATGTACATACATAAAGGATCAAGCATAAAGGGACTGTTTTGTAACCAGCTTTGAAAGCAGTGAGACAGCAGTTCTCTCTAAAACGACAAGTCAGTCTCATCCTATGCACAAACCCAAGCAAGTCTGAATACTGCAAACTCTTTCTTTCCCATCACTCTCTCAAATACAAATCTGGCCCCTTACCTCTGTTACTGTGGTGTGTCCTTCCTCCTTTCTCACTAGCTGCCTGCACTTTCTATTTCTGCCTGCTTAAACATACCCATGTCAGTGCCCAAATATTTCACTCCGCCTGCCTACCATTCCCCCACATGCCTGACATCCCAAGATCCTCGTTACTTTCCCACACACCCATGTCCTCTCATGCTCCCAAATCGACACACACACCAGCATAGCACAATCAGACCCTTAGAGAAGGCCCTTTAAAGCTTTTGTTGTTTCATTAAAAATGAATCCATGTGTATCTCTGCCACTTCATGTGCTCTGATCTGGAAGCCCTCTCTTGAAACTGTCCCTATTGAGAAAGCCTGGGAAGCTACAAAGCCACTGGTGACATCCTTTAGACCAGCCAGGTGGGTCCCCATGGTGCTTCAGCTGCTGGGAGACTCAGGCACCAGGGCAGGCAGCTGGAATCCTGCATCACTCCTGGAAAAGCATTACCCTTCTGCCACTGGCCTCAGCCTCACAAATGGGCTTTGAGTTAGTTTTAAAACAGAAGAAAACCAGAAACCTACCCAATACACAAGCTAATTTGTTTGCAAATGTTCCACACATTTCATGCATGGAAAGCTGCTCTGAAGCAGCCAAGCTCTATTTTTACCATCTCAGTTTTCCATTTAATTTTGCTTTTGGATGCACAAGAAGTGCATTCGTGTTACCAATCTATTCACATATCAAAAGCTATCCTCTGTGGGCTCAATACTTTTATTTACTGCATTAGAGCTGTTTTCTCTTTAAAAGGTCAGCTCCTTTACCAACTGTGTCTTTAAGTGAGTCTGACTATGTACACCTGACCAAAAAAGGCATAGAATTCACATTTTATTGTTTCATGTAGTAGCTCTAACAAGAGCGATCTGGATTTCTGATGTCTACAAGCAAATCCCTTAAATATAGTTCATACCTTTCAGAGGTAGATTTGCTCCCTATGCAAATCGGGAGACATATGAAAAGCAAAACTACTCTTTTCTCTCAAGATTCTAAATGTTATGAAAGCTTTGAAATATTTGTGCTCATACTGAGCTTTGCTAGCTCCAATAAAGATATATGGGCTCTGCTATCTGAAGGCTAATGTACCACCTAAAAAGTCAATTATTTAAAGAATATAATACCAGTTCAGCCTGTTCTGATAAGATCCATACATACTGTTGAAAGAAAATTTAAATCCAAAGTAGTATTTTTTGTATGAAACTCTACATTCAGAATCAGATGTCATCAAGACTCCTTAACAGATTTGCAGAAACTGGATGTTGTAATCTAGCCAGGTAGGATAAATTAGAGCTCAGCATAGTCAAGTCTTCCTACTCTTTCAGAAAGGTTCTGGTTACCTCTCAAAGTACCTTACTTTTAGAGAGGAAACTGGTGATCTAGTGACTTGTGCATGGGACAATCCTGGTGAATGTTGGGTTATTTTCAGACTAGAAAAAACTATAGAAAAAGACTTTTACATACTTTTTAAGAAAGCAAGAAAAACTAATAAAACCCGTATGTCACCCAAAATAGACATTATAAAGTCTTTCATATAAGCCCTCAATTTTGAGGTTATTTAATCCTTTCAAACCACTTTGTTTACTAAAGCTAGGTAAAATTTTACTGTGAAAAAGGAGTGAAAATTTGAATTCTTAATCTGTTGCTAAAAGCTCCTAGACGTCAATATTTTACAAACAAAATATCACAGTTTCGAAAGTCTGAAATCAAATGTCCTTTCCTTCATAAAGCATTTTGGAAAATCCTGTTGGTCAAATTGAATCCAATTTATAAAATGTTTCAGCGCTTACAATACTTCTGTTGCCTCCTGTTTCCCTAAAGAAAAGGATGATAGAAATTACAGCAATTTCACAGCAATGCCTTTGATTCTTTTTTTCAAACAAGTTTACAGACCTATTTATTATGTAGTTTAAGTGAAATAACATATTAAATGGTAGTTTAGACACCATTAAATTGTTTATTTCAAGTTGCTATTTGTTGACATGGAAACATTTTTTTGTGGTTTTGACTTCAATTTTCCGTCATGGGTCTCACATTGTACTTGTCTGAATGCATATTTTAACAAGTTCATATGTAGATGGGTATAAAATCCTGTATAGCTGATACTTACTGCAGAAAGGATATATTGCTTTTTCTTTCAAATTCAACAAAGATTAAGAAAAAAGTCTGGACTGAATGAAACCAAACACATCGTCATTCAATCTTTTGTTCCAATTCAACTAAAAAATTTATTGGGGAAAAAAATAAAAAGGAATAGTTGAGTCAATTTTATTTTCTTGCATTCGATTTGCTTTGTAGACAAAGCCACAAGTTCTGACGTATACAAACCTGTTGCTGAACATGGAATTTCTTTTATCGAATATGAGCATTAGGCAGATCCAGCCTGCAGCTGCAGTCTCACTGCCTGAAAATAAAAGCACACAACCCTTCAGGCTCCACATAGAACAGGAGCAAAGTTTTTGAAGATACTTCGCAGGGACAACGAGTGGAATAGCTATTTGAAAAAATATTTGACTGTAGCTTTGGGAGCAGCAGCAGTCATGAAAAAGAAACATTTCTAGCAGCTCCCTCTTATATAGATTCCTTGGCATCTGACTGTGGTTAACTCAGTCTGTTTTCATGACACTGGTAGGAATTTAGTATTTCTGAGACCTCCGCACACCATCAGATGCTGCTGTGCCTACCTTTCAGAATCTAACTGAAGATCTCAAAGAAATCTAGAAGCCTAAATACCAGCCAAAGTTTCAAAAGTGATTGGGTGGAGGCCAGACAGAGTGATGGATAAGGCTCATTTCCTTAGGAAACATGGCTAAAGGACTATTCTGCACTTACCATTTTCAGGTTATCAAAATACCACAACCTGAAACATAACATTGATCCAGGTATAATTATGGAGGTTTTGAAATATTTATTTTTCTAAATGTCTTTTTAAATGTCACTTCCAGCCTTATTTCTCAGTTATTTTTTTTTTCTCTGCAAACGCACAAATATTTTCTCTATAAAATGCACAAAGTAGAAACGGGAAGTCAGTAGCAAGAAACTAGGTCTTTCTATTTCACTGTGACTTCTTTTGGCAAGGAAAAGGGAAGAAGTTAATGATGGCCTAATTATTTAGCTTAAAGAAAGCAGCCAGAATCCCAGTATCATCTGCAGTAAGAAATGGAAAAGGAGTGGGATGAAAAGAACATGGCAGCTGTTCTGATAAACTAAATAATTGTAAGAGGGGTAATTGCCTGGTCTCTAAGACATTGCTATTTTTGAGGCATTGTTTGGTTTGTTTTTTATGTTAGGCCAAATTAAAAATGTCACTCACCTCAAAAGACAGAAAACTGTGTACATCCACCAAGTCACCACTACAAGAAATGTCAGCAATCACAGAAATGTGAAACAGCATCTATCAGAAAAATTTTAGTAATTTTTCTTCTCAAAAATGTATGCAAAAGAGTTAAAATCCTGACTGATTTTTGTAAGGGAGGAGTGCCTTGCTTTTCCGAAATACGTTGCTCAGAAGTAAATGCCACTGAAATCCTCCTTTGATAGCAAAGAAGTTTTCAAGAAAGAAATCTATTACCAGGTGAGGAAAAAAAAAAAGAAAAGAAAACAAAGGTAAAAAAGAATAGTCCTTGTCTGTTTCAATTTCTCCAGTCTTCTCAGCTCCTTCTGTAGCTTCATGCAACTTCATGCAATAGCAGAAGGAAAACCAATAAACACGCTTAGGTAATGTCTGTGACCTGAGGGCGACCTGTTTGGAGTGCAGCTGTATGTAAACTGAGTGGTGAAGCATAATATAAGAAAGGAAGTTTGTGACATTTTTTCATTCTTCTTTTTAGAATTGAGGGGTAGGAGGAACCAGGTATCCACACTTCAAAGTCATTCTGTTCTCTGCAGTCATATTTCTTGATTTAAAAAAGCAGACATAGCAAGTGATAGTTCTTTCCTGCTTAAACGCCTCATCTGTACCAGTGGTATTAAAACTGCTCTCCCAAAGCCTTGCTTCACAAGAAAACTGCTGATGGGCAAAATCATCTGCAAAGTAACAGACAGTAGCGTGTGTGTGCTACTTTGCATTGTAGTACACACACACACACCACCCAGAGCACCAGTAGCAGTTTCCCCTGAATGATCATCTTGACCTAGGGAAATTTTACTTAGTTTAGGTGATGTCTTGCAGAGAAAAAGCAAGGACTCTCAAAGTTATCCCAGATCCCCTAACCTTAAACTAATCGGGTCCAAGATCTGTATCAATATATAGCATCTTCTGCTCATTTCTCTCGGAAAGTACTAGAAGTTCTTGTGTTTGGTATTCAGGCTCACTCCATTGCATAAGTTATTGGCTTTAGTTGACTGGTGCAGCATAGTGATTGATTCAAGTCTTTCATTTCTGACAAAAATATCCTTCTTCATTTTTCTTATGCCTTAAATTTATGATAGTTCATTGATCAAAGCAAAGCAAGCTGTCGGAGTATGTCAGTGCAGCAGTCAAGATGGTTCCAACACCTGCTCAAGGAGCTCTATGAATATTCAGACACAAAGCTGTCTCCAGGTTGTTCAGCAATGTAGGCAAAAATTGTATTTGTCTGTCCCAAGGAAGAAGATTCAAGTAAAGCCACCCTTACTTCAGAAAGGGGAGCTAAAAAGGACAGGAATAGAGTGGGCATAGGAAAAAACAAGGAGAGAGAAGGGCTTGCTTCTTCTGCCAACATGAAAGTGGGGAAAATGGGTGGTATCAACTCCTGTGACGGTCTAGTTCTCTCCTTTCTAGTGACCTAACTGCACAGGTAGACTTTGACAAGGGCAACAGCTGCCTGCCTTGATTTGTAAACTTTTCACATACTGGAGTATTCAACAGCCCCATCACCAATCTGACTGCATCTAGAGTTCTAAACAAAACCAGGCGAGGAACTGGTCTGCAACCTTAAGAGAAAATGGTACAGGATGTCCACACCATGTCACAGAGCACATGGTCCTGAGTCACATAGACTTTATGTCTCTTGATTTTATGGCATATTAAGTATATTGACAGTGATTTTTTTTTTCCACTTCAAATTATCTGAAATAACATGAGGTCTGTGTTGCAAACCAGTGTTATACATTGCTTGACACAGAGGTGGCATGAGGTCTTACAGAGATGTCTGAGGGAGCAAGGTCTGCTGAAACATTGGGCAGATGACAGTGAAAGAAGCCAAACCTGATGCAATCTTATCCATGCTGTCTAATGGGAGCAGTGCCTGGCACATACTGTCCCAAATAATTCCCATGTATTGTCTCAGAGCATTAGTTGGCATGATGCAAAGCCAGGATGGATAGCTTGCTAACATTTAGCAGTACAGATTATCAGCGCTGGACAGGCCAGCCAAGCTCCTATTTATACTTCAGCTTCCAGAAACAACCAGAAGCATTCTCTTGATATCAGTGGCATTACAGGTGCAGAATTTAATGAGTCAGTATTATCTATAAGAAATGCTCAGCTGATCAGCTAATTTTTGTTTCTAGAGTTTTCAATTGGGAAAATCTTAATGGGGGAAAAAAAAAAAGACTCATATGAAGAAAGATCTGATTCTCTCTATCTCTTCTTGTGAAAATTGAGAATACTCTTTTTTCAAAATAGTCAGTAAGGAAAATATGTGGAGAAACCAGGGCTTAACCAGTCCTCACACAACTGGCCTGGAAGGCTGAGCTGTAAATCAACAGCTCAGATGAAAGAGAAGCTGCAGAGAAGATGAAGTCATACTCTTCTCATTGCTGCATGGGGCAAAGCAAGGAGCAATGGGAACATGCTGCAGTGAGGGAAGTTCCAACAGGATATAAACAAAAAACCCCAAAAGTTCCTAATGCGAGAGGTGCAGCATTGATCAGGGCCCAAAGAGGCTGTGGAAACTCCCATTCTTGCCCTGAGCAATGCAATCTAACTTTGAAGTTAGTCTGGTGCTAAGCAGGGAGGTTGTCAAGAGACCTTTAAAGGTCCCTTCTAACACAAAATATTCTATGATTTTTAGCAGGTTGAAAACCTATTTTTTTTTTATTTCTAGCAGTTAGAGTGTGTAAACCAGTTTTAAACTGATAACAGTCAGGTGAGTGTATGTCCTTCATGCTGTCTTATTTTCCTGGTACTTCCTGTAGAGATGAAAAGTTGAGATCTTGGTAAATATCTGAAGAAATAGTGAACTGACAAGTAAAAATTTTTGCTTAGTACACGTGATAGTAACTGGCAGAAATAGCTGGAGTTGAGTAACTGCAAGAAGAAATCTCTCAGGGGCATGTCTGACATGTTACAGCAACTCAGGGAGACATACATCTGATGCAGAGGCATCAAAAAGAAAGCACGTGGCCAGTATTTGCAGCTATTAAGGCCTGTCAGCACTGTGAATCATTAATAATCCCTATTATCCCTACTACAGCAGTTGTCAGTAGTTTTGCCGCATGGAAATACTAGATACAAGCCAAGTTCTAATGTTGCTAGGTGACTCACAGTGGGACACCTGGGCTGGCTCTGACGCTGACCTTGCTCCACTGCTTGCAGCAGAAATGACAACATTACGTGTTTTCCAAGTGCAAAAAATGCATCCTTTCTATCTTTCTCACCTTCTCAGAAGAAACACTGAATCTGAGAAGGCTGTTTTCTGCATTGGTTGTGATTAGGATAATAATAATATAGAAAAAAAGACTGAGGTCTCACGTTTTTCAAAAGAGATAGAGTACCTCTCTGACTTCTTTGTACACTGCTATGAGTAATTGCATGCAAAAGTCCCTGATTTTACTGCCAGCATTGCATACTTATCGTGGTCGGGAATCTTCATTCTGTCTTTCTGGTAGTCCTCCATTATGTAGCCTTCCACTTGTAGGTCATGATTTTTGGTGTAACCACTGCTCCCACCATCATGTTGAACTTAATCTCCATTGTTCAACATTCTCTGAAATTTCATGGGGCATCTATTACTTTCTTTTTTGTAGCTCGTCAGGTTTGTCAGACTTTCTTATTCATTACCTGCTTAAGGTGAAAACATCTTTGCTTTTGCCTTTCTGATGAGAAAAAAGTGAGGAGGTTGAGTGTGAAGAAGTAGTGAGCACTAGACAAGGGTGATAGACCATCTGCCATAAGGGATTGGAAGACATTCTTAATTTAACATATAGCTTGTGACAGATTACTTGTACAGAGGAATATGATGAATAAGAACATGGCACAAGTCAAAGCGCATGTGCAATATCAGCAATAGCCCACGCATATGCTGAGTCTGCTCAAAAGAATAGCATCTAGACTGCACTGAACTGATTTCCACCCAAACACTCTGGACATTAATCCCAGTCACCACACACATGAGAGTCAGCGAGCAACATGTATGCTGACCTCAGAAACGTAGGCTTTCAGGAGAAGCCTTACCTGCTCTGAACCTCTTGAGGTTTTCTGGAAGCCAAACCTCCAGTAAATATCATTTATATCTAGACTAATCAGACACAAGCAGCAAACTCTCCTTATTCTAGAAATCTATTTTTTATGACAGGCATTTGCACTAGAGGTGGCTCTGAATTGACATTGACTCCAAGCAGTCAGATTTCAGGCATAACCCAATTTGAGATCCTCAGCCTAATGACAGGCAGAAGATGTTGATAATCAACTGTCTCCACATCTTTGCAGGTTCAAAATGTATAACCTTTGTACATGTGCTTCAAATGAAGGTATGTTTAGTAAAGCAGACGTGAAAACAGCATTCTGGAGCCTTTAGTGGTAAATTCTGTGACAAAATTGGTTAGAATCCAAGACAAAAACTACAATGGTCAAATGACTACCAAAAAAAGAGTTGTGGATATTTTTAATTCATGTATCAGCATCCTCTTGCATCCTTAATAATAAAAGGTCCAAGAATCAGAAATGAATGGATATGTTTGTACTGCATAGAGACAAAGTGTTACGCAGGCTGATTTTTTCTGCAGCTATATGGGCTTAAAAAATTTAAAAAATTAAAAATAGTAGAATGTTGTTTTTAGCAAGTTAGATTAGAAGGCAATGATGAAGCAGGTAGTGTGAAAAAAGGTATCATCTTTACAGCTTCTTTTCTAATCATAAACATACTTCAATTTGCATTTCTTTTCTAGTGAAAACTGCTGCTGAAATAAATTTAAATCACATGCATGCTCTCTCTGAAATTATATTTATGATTCTATGGGTGCAAATAAGTAATTTGGTCCTTGAAGAACCAAAGTCAGTATCTATTGAACATTTCAACATTCCAAAATGAGAACTAGACAGTGTTCCCAGCCAAGTGAATAGACAATCTTGTATTGATTTCAACAGCACAGGAGCAGATCCTAATTCCTTTCTTTTCCAGCAGAAAATCTGCATTTTGTGCCAATGAGTGCTTTCAGTTGTTAGCTGGTCAAAAAAGACTCCTTTTTTTTTCTGTAAACAAGACTCTTTCTCCTCATATCCAGTGGTAATACACACTGTCTTGCAGTATGGATTACCTAGTCTCACTAAGAGTGATACAGGCTTAGTTCATCAAACAGGCAAATCCCCCTCTATTCTAAGAATATCTGCTCCTGTGCCCTCAGGGCTCATCAGACATAAGATTTTACAAATCTCGGAAACAGTGACAACACCAGCCAGAGATCAGGCAAAGCATTTCAGAACCTTCCTGCCTGCTTCCTCTCTCCAACTTCTCTTTGCATCACAGGTAAGAAAAGAAAACAGAAAGACCCAGACTTAAAACGGAGTAATGAACAATGCAGAAAATGTCTTGTGCTATGGTGCCTTCTCCTGATGTCAAAGTCTGACAACTTCTCAGAGGCACCAGGGAACAGAAATAGCCACATGGTACTGCCAAATATTCCACAGATGAGTTCAGTGTCAGGGAGGTTTGTGATCACAGCAAATGAGAGGTGAATACTGAAGATTGTTCACAAAAGGCAAGCTCGGACCTTACAAATGCAAACACACAAGTAACTAAAAAGTTAGCTTCATCCTATCAGGAAGGTGGGGTATGATATGCGTGCAGTCAGAAATCACAGTCAAAATGACATCTGCTTGACATTTTTATATGCACAATAAAGCCCTGGAGAACAATTTGTAGATTATAAACTATTTTTTGAATTAGTGAATTTTCAGTGAATTTGTATACAAACCATTCACAACTGTGTTACAAGAGATAAAATTAGTCTACTAAAGTACACCAAAACATTCACTGAACTCTCTGTATCAGCTTCTGCTACAAAAAGGTCAGTTATAAAATGTAATATTATCTGTAGAAACTCCTAATTATTTTGCAGATCATTCTACAACTCTCATACAGTATATGATGAAAATAGGCTACGAGTATTTAAATTAGACAAATATGCCCTTTAAATACATCCTTTTGCCTTTGTATTTGTACAGTACAAGATTTCTGAAGCACTACCAAAGTACAAAAAAATCACACTGTTAATGGTAAAATCATTGCTTTTGGATTATAGTAATATGTTACATTCACAGTCATGGAAGTCACGAGAGCATCTCCTCTGCATTTCATGGTTTGTTGTTGACACTGGATTCATGTTATTTGACAGACTCTAAATAAAAATATGTGCTTGGAAACACTGGATTGTGACTTTACAATGCTGTTCTGGAATAGACAAGACCAGGGCCACAACACTGGTTGCATCTTTACTAGAAAATAAAATGTTCCTCTGCATTGGCACCCAACACCTTGTGTGGTAAAATTCATAGAAAAGCTCCTGGCATGGTTTTAACTGGTGCAGAACTGAGTACACCCAATTTCTGGCTACATTTCAGGTGTTAGCATGGGACACGGATTATTCCTAATAAGCAGACAGTATAAGACTACCCTGCTTTGAAAACAACAAGCGTTCGATAATACAAGTGTGGGCTACATCACTCCATTTAGCCTCCATGATAAAGAGGAGGCCTGGGCACATTCAGTTTGTTAATATAGCCATAGCCAGTACATACTGCTATGATAAACACAAGTGAACTATTCAGAGGTTTGTTTAGGAGAACTCCTTTTCATTTGCTGGAAAATAAAACAAGTCACTGAAATCTCGTACACCATATATGCAATTTGCTCACTGACTCACTGAAACAAACACTTTGAACAGAATAGTCTACATTGGCCTAAACTGGCATGGTGTTTCTACCTGACCAGTGTGTTCAAACAAACAAAATGCTGGTTGGGAGAGAGGAAACTGTTCCGAACTAGGGGTTTTTGGGTTTTTTTTTTTCTTTTTCAGTGCAGGTTAATATTATGTATGTATTTTTGTCATGAAGAAAAGCAAAGAGAGTAAAAATAGCTCTCAAGTGAGATAGCTGCTATCCTCTGTTCCTGGAACCGTGACAGCCATTATATAACTCAAAAGAAAATTAAATGATATAAACAGCATAAGCTAATTGGTTTTATATCAAGCAAAATTATAATTAGTTGAAGTGTTTTGTGGCAAAGGCACTGACAATATGTGGCTGTTCCTCAGCCTTAGTGGTGAACAGGAATCCTGCCATGTGTTTAAAACTTATTCATCAGGCATTTCCATGGAAACACACAGATGTACAATCCTTGGATCACTTATTTTAGAAACTGCTGCTCCCAAGGTTCACTCTGGAGTGAGAACTTAGACCAGGAGAGGGTGACGGGCTGTAACTCTGATCTAGGAATCTCCACATGCAGCTATTTGTTGGGTCTCACAGCAGGATAATTTAGGTGAGGAAAAGGGCATCTTGCATAAAGAGAAAAAGACTGAAAATTTGACTTTGATTTTCCTTCTTAGAGACTGCCTCAGAGTTGGGAAATGACAGCACCGGAAAGAGCCCGAAGAGTTCATGAAATGGCCAGATGCCCCCAGGGAGATTAAGATGTGTTAGCGAGATGCTGTAGTGAGAGAGACTTTGGTTAAATGTAGTGACTGGTTTTGGTTGTCGAAAGTTGCTCTCTTACATACCCAGATGGCAGTCAGCTCTGGTGCGACTTCTCAACGTTAAGAAAAATCCTTCCAGGTTGGAAGGGGCAGGTCTCTGAAGCCCATTTACAGTGACAGCCCACCACCATGTGCTGGAGAGCACAGCAGCTCCTTGCTCCTGCTACAAACCTATAGCCACTTGAGAAAATGTGGCCTTTACCTCTCTCTGTCGGTCGGCTCATGTACCACGAGAGACAGGGAAGGTTGGTTGTGATGCACAAGGACTTGAAATCAACACAAAACTTTTTGAAAGGATCAGTAAAATTCATTGGATGAATAAAAAGGTGCTTCATTGTTAGCAAGTGCTTCTATAGGAAATAAATGCCGCATGAAAAGCAGGCGAAACGGGTGCAGCATATGACTGGTAGACATCCCTGCATGGGCATGTAACCATCAGATTTCTCCTGATGTCAGTAATAAAACCAGCACCTGTGCCCCTCCCAGCCCTGCTATGGTTTTTAGTACACTTTCCTGTTTCTGGTAAGAGATGCTCAGGCAGGGAGGTCTAGGACATGGTTGGCTTTAACAGCAAGGTTATAAGTAAGGTATATTCTCAAAGGCAACAGGGGATGCTTCCACCCTGTCTCTGAGTTCATGCCAGGCTCCAGCTGGGAGGGTAAAGTAAAATATTCATAATGCCTTAATATACCACACTAAACCAGCATTACTAGTCCAACATACAAGTCTCAAAAGCCAGAGCCTTCATAGGCTGTTCATAAGTATTTGAGGGGTCTATTACTGCAGTGATGTGATAGCTCCCGTGGACTGAAATCTCCTTAGGCACAATAGAGAGGTAAGCACAGAGTGTGAAGCCTTAACTCTAGATTTTCTGACTTTGGCTTAAGCCTGCCTCACAAGGTTCCTGCAGCGCCTTTTTATTGTGTTGATTTCGTCATACATTATATAGCATCAGTGATAACGCAAGTAGGCACACTGTCACGAACTGGGGCAAGTTCATTCAGAACCGACTGCCTTGTGACACAACTTCCAGCCCTGTCGCTACCATCAACCTGAATAATGCTCTATTTAGAGGCAGCAGCAAACTGAAGAGATGACACAGGATGGAGCACACAGTCTTAAGACACAGTATTACTATCAGGTTTCCACGCTACTGTTAACGGAGAGTCAGGCCAGAGCCCTTCTTGTAACACAGGCTGTGGGCTGAACAGAGGCTTGGCTGGCAATGAAGCAGACCAGGAGAAACAACCAGTCTTCAATACATTTTCTTTTCCTGGCTATTTCAGTCATCCCTAAAACTTTGTAAGGGTCCATGATCTTTCTCCACAGGGATGAGCCCGCACATCTTGAAAAACCTACAGGTGCTGTGATACTCCACAGACAATCTGCTATGTAGCACACATCTCTAAAGTGAGAGACTAAAATGTTCTTCAGGCTATACTGACACACCAAGAGCACCCCTTGTGCAACCCTCTGGGCAAGAGCTCAGGCTTCCCAGGTAGCTCCTCCACACAAAAGCATTTGGCTCTACTGCCCAGGGCAGTGCCAGGTGGACACACTCAAGCCTCTACAGCACCAGAGACAGGACTGCTGTGTCAAGCAGGAGCTTTGATGGGTTTATGCCTCCATTTCCCAGCCAGGCAAGAGATACTCAGAGGCAACCAGAGCTCAGGGAAATGAAGTACTTCCCAACCAAACCTACTTACTCCCAGCTCTCTGCCAGAAGGTCACCACTCACAGCACCAACATGCAGGTCAACGCCCTGGCTATTCAGGAAGAGCATCTCCATAAACCAGCGGTACAACATCACATCAGTGCTGCTATATTCAGAGTCAAGCACCAAGGCAGAACCAGCAGAAGCCTTTTTGCTTCACAGCCTGGTGTCAGAAGAATAGCAATTAGCCAGAAAGTTAAAAAATAGGAGTTCAGGATCTGAAATTCCTGCAGGAGTAAGCCCCAGAGAGCAGAAGGTTTTCCAGTAATAGGCAACAGTTACTGTGCTGGGTTCAGCTACACAGTCATTTTTTGTCCTTAGTAGCTGGTGCAGGGCTGTGGTTTTGACTTTCAGTCTGGGAACAACGCTGATAACACCGATGTTTTTAGTTGTTGCTCAGTAATGTTTACTCTGACCAAGGACTTTCTCAGTCTCATGCTCTGCCAGGGAGGAGGGGAAGCCAGGAGGAAGCAGAGACAGGACACCTGATCCAAACTGGCCAAAGGGGTATTCCATACCACAGCACGTCATGCCCAGTATAGAAACTGGGGGGAGTTACCCGGAAGGCCCAGATCACTGCTCGGGTCGGGCTGGGTATCGGCCGGCGGGTGGTGAGCGGTTGTGTCCTTTTCCCTTGTTATTCCTCTTATCATTACTATTGGTAGCAGTAGTGGTTTGTTTTATACCTTAGTTACTGGAGTGCTGTTATCTCAACCCATGGGAGTTACATTCCTCCGATTCCCCTCCCCATCCCTCCGGGAGTGAGTGAGCAGCTGTGTGGTTCCAAGTTACCGGCTTGACTTAAACAATGACAGTTACCCCAGACCTCACCATGTCCTCAGCTTCATGCAAAACACATTTGATTAAACCACTCTCCTCCCCATTACACTTTCTTTTTCTTGCACATAAACATAATGTAGCTATATATCTCAAAATACTGGGAAACTAAAGGAAAAAACCCACAGTTACTGGCATTTGGGGGTTTTAAATACTTGTAAAGACATTTACAGAGGAATGCTGTTTAGGTCCATACAGTTAGAGAAAATGGTACATTTGAATCAAAGGCTGCAGGCATACTGAATTAAAATGAAATCATGTTCTGAAGTACTGTATGTTTTACATTGCTGGGAGAAGGACACACAATTCCCTGTCTCAGTATCAGTGAGATTGATTTTCTATGGAAATGTGCTTGAATTGCTCTTGTTATGTATTACTCTGTAGCCTGCCTTTCCTTCAACAAGAGTAGGATTGGTTCTTTCTATAAAACTGATATTTCTTGGGGTTTTTTTATAAACTCCTTATACTTATTTAATATTTGCCCCATAGCAATGCAACTGATAGAAAAAACAGCTCAACAATTGCTCATTTTCTCTTCTCATCTTCTTGGCTAAAGCCCCCGAGTGAATTTGTTTCCTCATTTATATCTGCTATCTCCCAGAAGATCTTTCTTGGTGCATAAGAAATCTCATATATTAAACTGTAAAGGGGGGGTTGGGGGTGGGAAGAAAGATCTGCTTAAACACATCTTGCAGAATTTAAATATGGGTGTAGAAAGGATGCCCTAATAGATAGGAAGTGAGAACTTTCTTTTATGGTATTTCTATATAGCAATAAATTGAGGATGCTTGGCATCATTTGACTTGTGTTGTACATTTAAAAGGTGAGCAAAAATAAGGATAATAATTTTGCTGGTTACTAGCAATTTCATGCCAGTACTACAGAAAGAAGCTGTGTGTTCACCTAGAGAAATAATAAGAAGAATAATGCCTGCCATTTTCTTGTTTGTTTGTTTTTCATGGCAGCTAACGTACTGGAAGAAGACTCAATGGAGCAGGACATAGAGAGCCCTGTCGCTATTCATCAGCCAAAGTTGCCCAAACAAGCTAGAGAGGATCTGCCAAAAAATATAAACAAAGATTGTGCCAAGAGAAAAATCCAGAGGTATGTTAGGAAAGATGGGAAATGCAACGTCCACCATGGGAATGTCAGAGAGACTTACCGTTACTTGACTGACATCTTCACTACCTTAGTCGATCTCAAGTGGAGGTTCAACCTGTTGATTTTTGTCATGGTTTACACTGTGACCTGGCTCTTCTTTGGAATGATATGGTGGTTAATTGCCTACATGCGAGGAGATATGGATCATGTAGGGGACAGCACGTGGACCCCATGCGTCAGCAACCTCAATGGGTTTGTCTCAGCCTTTTTATTCTCAATCGAGACAGAAACCACCATTGGGTATGGTTACCGGGTCATCACGGACAAGTGTCCCGAGGGAATTATTCTGCTTTTAGTGCAGTCTGTTTTAGGTTCTATCGTCAACGCTTTCATGGTTGGCTGCATGTTTGTGAAAATATCCCAACCCAAGAAGAGGGCAGAAACCTTGGTTTTTTCTACAAACGCAGTTATTTCCATGCGGGATGGAAAGCTGTGTCTGATGTTCCGAGTAGGAGACCTTAGGAATTCACACATTGTAGAGGCATCAATACGAGCCAAGTTGATCAAATCCAAACAGACAAAGGAGGGGGAATTTATACCACTCAACCAGACAGATATCAACGTAGGTTATTACACAGGGGATGATCGTCTCTTTTTGGTTTCACCACTGATCATCAGCCATGAAATTAACCAGCAGAGTCCTTTCTGGGAGATTTCCAAAGCCCAGTTGCCCAAAGAGGAGCTAGAAATTGTTGTAATCCTAGAAGGAATGGTGGAGGCAACAGGTAACATTTCTTATACTTTGTATAAGGTAAATGCTTTAATTTTAGAAAGGAAAACAGTGGTTTTGCTTCACTTTAAAAGAATCACTTCAATAGTCATTACTTTTGAAAAAGGCATCAGTTAACTGGTTAGCTTCAAAATTAAAAGCATGCCCAGTTTAATTGTCTGTTCCATCTTGCCTAATGGAATTAGTGTTGTTTCTGCTCTGTTTGGAAAATGGGATAGCCTTTCTCATTTTCTAAATTTTTCACAGCATGTCACCCAGTTATTTGTCATTCTACACAGAAGCAACTCAACTAGTAGGACCTGATGGGATAAAATGGTTTAGAAAAAAAAAATCAATACAAATTTCTGGGTTTTAATAAACATGGAAGGACTATAGTTCCTGCAGCTTCGAATCACCCGTGGGTAACTGCAGAATAACTGCCTGCCACATGAAATTCCTAGCCTGTTCGGATCCTGTAGGAAGTGATAATGTGTTCAGTTTTCTCTTTTTGCTTGTTTGCTTGTTTTTGTTTTAACTTGTAACATTGGGCTTGTTTCATGTTAGTTCACAAAAGATCTGCTGATTTTGTATTTCACTGAGGCCCCTTACACACTGCAGAAGTTTACAGAACACTTAAATCTGGTATATACAAATATGGCATTTTATGTCAGCAGAAACTTGTTGAAAGTCTATTTGGTCATCTCCTAAAATCATGCAGCAGAACATCAGGTATCCCTTGACACAGAGAAAACAATGCCTGGAATTCACAGCAAATGGACTAGTAATGTTTCTGCTCTGCATTAAAGCCAGAATATAGTGGGAGTATATGTACTCTAAAGCTACTGTATTTCCCACAGACAGAATGCCAATATACTTGTTCTAGGAGGCTTGGGTTTTTTCCTGTTAATGACAGCATCAATCTCTGAAGTGAGTAAATATAATCAATAAGAGGTAATGGTGATTAAAAAATGAAGAAAAGATGTGTTTGGGGAGGAAGAAACACTGAGTATAGGAATAGAAGAACAAGATCTGCCATTTTTCCCCACTAATATAGCAAAAGCTAAAGAAGTTTGAGGATGTGGATTACACATCTCTGACCGAGGTACAATCTTTCTAACCCTGAATCATAACTGGAGCCAGGAAATAAAGAGCAGTCTCTTACTAAAACATGTGTGTGTGTTTCACACATCTATTATGTGGTGTCAGAAGAAAACTGCATTTGTCACCATATAATAAATGTGTGAGACAAAAATGGAGCAAAAAAAAAAACAAAAAAAAAAAACCAAAATTGAAAGGAACTTGGCAGAGAATTTGAAGTGGTAAATGCAAGGCTTCCGAAGCAGGCAAGTAGGTGATACTGGAGAGAAATCAAGAGGAAATTGGTGTTACTGATACATACAGTAGGCACAAGGTTTCAAACATCTGCATCACCTTTGCGTGAGACAATGAGGAAATTGCTGTTTGTTAGCAATTAAAACCATTTTGAAATCTCTGAATTGGAACTAAATGAACTTGACATCCCACAGAGTGGTGGGTATTTTCAGGTTTACTGAACGCCATCTTTTCCAGAAAAATAATTGGCAAGTAGTAGGAGTATTAAAAAAACCACTCACAGACAATACCTATGTGATCAAAAGACAGTACACTTCTGCAGTGCATCAAATGTAGCTTTGTTGTCTTAAGCCTTGTTCCTCTTTATTGCTTAACCCTTGCTTCCTTACCCCATCTTTACCCCTGCACACTCACACAGCTCTCTGGGCTCTTTGCTGCTCCGATACTCAGCACATTTTCCACTTGGCCATTATCAGCATTCACCAGAGGGGGCTACCTCTCATGCTGCTCGGGCTGCCAAAGTTAAAGTTCCAATGCCAGAAGAGTTCATACTAGCAAAGAAAATGGATGCAACGATTTGAAAGCCATGAAGCCATCAGGGACTAAGGTGTTACCCTGGCACTGGATAGTTAGCTACATTTACCATTTTAAGCTTCTCCATTTTGTTCTGTTTGGGTTGGCTCTCTAGCCACATGCGATATGAGGGAGGGCATCAAATAATGCTGCTTAACTTGGCATCAGAAAGATTAATGACAATTACCAGCACAATTTCTAAAGCATGTTTGTGTGGAAGTAGCCACTTGTTCTGTGCTTTGCCCACATGTACTGGGTTATTTTTCTTGAAGGTGCAATCAGACCCACTTTCTACCAATACCAGACATTTTCCCTCTTTGAATTTACAATTTTATACATATAT